TTAAGGGGGACTATAAACCCAAATACTCAGCCCGAGGAATAGAGAATTGCGAATGAAGGGAGAAGGCCGCTCTGCATGAGTCTTCTTTGGAGCTTCGGGAGGTTTTGGATGGTTTTGGGAAACAAGGGGAGGTAGGGTAATGTAGACCCATGATTAATACACCCCGTCCTTTTAAGGGCTTTCATATTAGGATCCCTATGGTAATCCCCAATAAGGGGGGGGATATTAATCATAGGTGTATATTATGGGGTTTAGGCATGCGGGCAAACGGTTTCCAGGATAGGGATTTCTATCAAGATGAATAGGCATTTCAGAAGGACATCGCCTCACGCTTGTGTAGGAGCGAGGGATCTAATGTAATGGCCTCAATAATATGGTATCGGGTACCTCAGAATAGACACCACTCTAGACCTCAAGATATCTTGAGTAGTTATTTAGGCCCTTGCAGTTGGAATCTTCGTGCGTGCCGCAATAACGGCAGTTGCGAGGCTGAATGTCCAATCATCTCCAGCCCAAAGCCTTTTAGACCTTAAACCCCAAACCCTAGACCTCCAAAAGCTAGGCTTCATGCAACAATAATACGAACGCTAAGAACAATAATACGAATAACCGCAATGAGAGCAATACTTCTTATTTATCCTCATAACGTATGAAGATTTCAGTGCCCCGGCTCAGCCCCAGATTCGTCGTCTAAATTCCTTAAAGGGGCTCTATACGCGGGGGGGGGGGGGGCGGGNNAGTATTCTAGGGGTTATTTAGGGGGATACTAGGCTCAGATGATGAACAAACGCGCACAGCGGAGGTAAGATCCCCGGTTGGATTGGCGCCATCTGCTACATGGTGCCCTGGCCACTTCCCACACCTGAACCCCTGAGGGATCCAAAAGAAGGGAGCCCCCCAAAAATGATCCCTAAACATTGGGGAACCTAGGGGATTCTAGGGAGGTTCTATTTTTGGATCCTTTAGAAGATCTGGGAAGTTAAAGTTTGGTATCAAAGGGCTTGCAGTCTCGCCTTTGAGGTAGATGGCCTTGCGACAATAGGCTTGCTGAGAGCTTGTGAAGTGCCAGTATTCTTACTGGTAGTTGGTAGTGAATACAGCTGAAATGAGACTTCATTTATGCAGGTCAAACTTCAGCTCGAAGCCCAATCCTGAGGTTTTAGGGGTTGAAGGGTTGAAGGGTTTAGAGTGTAGCGTTAAGGCGTTTAGAGTTTAGGGTCAATATGTGTAGAGTTTAGGGGCATAGGAGTTGAGGGTAAAGGGGTTTAGGGTTTAGGAGTTTAGAGTTGAGGGTCTGTGGCCTAGGCAGTGTGGATCGAATGTCGAGGTCCTTGGTTTGCGAGGGGCCTCATTGTCTCCAGGGGTTTGTTGTTTCGTGAGTGTGGCTGCCAGCGAGCCCCTTCACGACTACGACCCGAGAGTTTACAAGGCTTCAACAACTAAACTTACTGGTAGTGTATTCCCCTATTCCCTACTCACCCCCCAGCAAGACAAGCAAATTCTCAGACGTACAGGTCAGCCGCACATCGATGGTAGCCATGATCCAAGCATGAGGAGTGAGCATATATTTCATCCGAAATGTCTCAGATGCTGCTACACGTCTGCCTTTGTGGCATTTCAAAACAAGGGGTCCCATATTTCCATTCCGCCGAAAGACTCTCAGGAAACCTTGAACCTCCGATTCTGCACCAGCAACTCAGCACCCAAAAGCCTAGCGTCATTGCAAATAGTCTGTTGGAATAATCCCCTATGGCTAGGTTTAGTCTCTACACTTTTTAGGTCAGGGCCATCGAACAGGTAAGAGTCGGCGTTTCTGAGGTGTTGGGCTTCATGAAGGAAATCCTCTTCACTATTGTGCCGCAGAACAACGTCATCATCACCGGTGACAGGGTGGGCCTCACCCGATCCGCCATGCTTCTTGGCCTGTGCAGGGACCAGAACTGATCAGACATAATAGGCTTCCTTGCCCAAGCCCCTGCCCAAAGTTGAGCATTCCATGAAAGGGCCCCTACAACCTCCTAGGTCACATTTCTTTAGGTGCGGGGTCCCTGTTGTTGAGATCCATTGTGTCCGGGAAAACTACAAGGATTTCAGAAAAAATCCAGATTCGGAACCCTCCAAAGCAAACTGTCGTCCCAGGTTCCTCTTCATCTTCATCATCATCCACGCTGTGGGCAACCTTCACGTTTTCCTAGGCACAGCACACTGCTTACTAAAATGGGGTTCTAAAGGGATTATAGGGTATATATATTGGGGTTATATAGGGATAATGGAAAAGAAAATGGAAACTACTATCAGATCACGTTCAGATGTTGAGGCTTCAGGTGATTAGGGTTTGGGGCTTCGGGCTGCAGATGAAGACGACATACCTGCACTTCTTGATCCAAACACGCAGGCCCCAACTTATGCGTTCATGTGTCAGGTTCTGGGTCTTGGGTGTATCCGACCGGACACTGTTTTGGCAAGGGAGGGCGAGATCACGACCGATGTTCTATGCCGGGGCACCCTAAACTCTACTGACATAGCCTAAACCCTAAACCCTATATTCCGATTTGGGAGGTGGATGCGCACAGATTAGATGGGGGCTTCCCAAATTGGGGGTCCACTTTTGGGGGTCTCTATAGTACGGATTATTGTACTTCGTGGTCTAGATTAGGGTCCCTTTCAAGTAGGCAAACGACCTTCTCATATCATATGCTTGTGCTTCTGGGGCATGCACGTTTTGCTGCCCGACTGTTGCTGTTGCGAACCTTGCGCTAACCGGGGTCCCTCAATGTTTGGCATTTTTATGCAAAGGATTTGACTAGAGAGGCGTACCTGTAAAAGGGGCTAAATGTCAAGTCACCTCATAACTCCGTTGACTTTCATTGGTATTGCTAGTACTATCATAAGTACTACTATGAATACTACTATCATTTTTTGCCATCAGTACGATTCTTACCGCTATCGCTATTACTATTACCATCACTATTTTTACTACTTTTTCTTATTGCTGGCCACCGCTTTGAGCGCAGGCCCGGATGACTTCAACGGCCGCTTTGCTTCCAATCAATAGTTTGCTTTGGGTCTCTTTTGGGAGGTTCGACCTCCAGACCTGCAGCAGGTTAGGGGGCCCAAGCAGTGGCTCTGCAAGAACGCTCTTCGTTTTTCATTTGTACGGACCTTGCAGCCTCGCAGTGGGTGGATGGGAGGAGGACATAACAAGTGATCCCCTCCCTCGTGGAATGTTTGCAAAGGGGGGAGGTTGGGGGAGGGGACTTGCTCCAGAACAAGTGTAGGAATTCCAAGCACGCACTGCAGCCCTGACACCCGAAGCGCAAATCTGCAACGGGAATTGTACATGGGTTGAGGGTACAGGGGCATCACGGTAGAGTTTTCGGGGGTGGGGGTTTGAGGGTTTGCGAAATTCCTCAAAGTACCGCTACCATGCCAGAATCAATCCCAAGAACTCTGAACCCCAACACCCGGTCTGAAACGCAGGACCTTATGCTGCCTTGCCTTGGCTTTGGTATTTCGCTAACAATGGACCCCTCTAATTCCGGACGACGCACTTCTGATCTTGAACGAGATCAGCAGCAATAAGGGGTAATCCTAGACTTGAATGAGGGTCATAAGAACTTGGTAAGTAGGGACTTTGAGGGGCAGTGCTAGCCGCTGGACCAGCACAAGAGACACCCAGTGTGCAAGGCTACGGCTACTTTTACGTCCGCCTCTACTGGACCGGATTCGGCTTCCAGGCCACGTGTCTTAAACTTAGAAATTGAGTATTAGGGTCCCATTTTGGTACCCCTAAAAATTAGGTGCCATAACCTAACCTACAACAGAATGGGGCCCATAATTTTGAGAACAAATCAATTAGATCTTGAAATTAGGGACCCTGAGGGCCCAGACTAATTTTAATACAGGGGTACAGGGGCACCCTGAGAAACTTTCAAGTAGATTGTGAGGTGTGACTTATAGTTTGCAGAGATTGCGTGTCTAGACTTTAGCGGACCTGTCTTTTCCAGGACTGTCAGGATTGTGTCTTCTGCTTCCACCGTGTGCAGCCCGAAGAAAAGAGCTGTCCATGGGCTCTACATGGGCTTGAAATGGAGAAGCCTTGAACTCTGCCATATGGTCAGGTGGGCCCACGCAAAATCGTAGGATTCTGAGAACCTTGAACAACTCCATCATATTGGAGGTTTTTGTACATTGAAGAAAGGAAGGGGGGGTGGCTGGTTTAAATAAAGGGGAACCCGAAACCCTCGAGCCCTAAACCCTAAACCCTTGAACCCTAAACCCTAAACCCTAAAGGTAAAGGGAGTTAAGATATCGCGTGTGCATGTAGGGTGTAGAGCGTTGCGCATACCTTCCCTCATCCTAAGCAGATGAAGCTGGCTGGCTTGTCTCCCTGAGGCCAACATCGTGGAGGTGCCCCGGCATCCTAAGAAAAGGGTTTAGGGTTTAGGAGGTTTAGGGACCCCCCAGTCAAAGGTTGTTCTTCCCGTCCTGGGTTCCGCAGCCTATATTGACTTCGCTGATTTTTTGGAGGAGAAACTCAGTGGCAGTGGTAAAGAGGGGTGGTTAAAGCAACCCATACTAATCAGGGGCCCGAAGCTGTGAGCGCAGTTTCCACAACCGGTCCGTTTTGCGCAGTCCCTACAGACAGTGCCTTCCTCTTGTGCTTGCAGTTAGCAAGCCGGGGTCTAGTCTGGCTCAAGATCAGATTCCGTATCTGCAAGTGCGGCGCCGCTTATTGAGAACAACCACTGTGAATTAGGGTAGGTCAATCCCTTTACAGCTGAAAGCACCTTAGCTGTAAAGTCAAGGTTGGGACGCTGAGGTGTTTCGGAACGATCGCCTCACCCTGAGGCTCTAAGACATAGATAGCACGTAGCGTCTGCCCTATAGCGCCTATACATCAATTTGGGGCCTCTAGGGCAAGGTTTGATCTAGAATGTTTGGGGGCCAGGGCTCAGGCTGTAAGGCATCGAACAAAAATTGGGCCTTAAAGTTCTTAGTTTTCGGTCTGGCTGTAAAGTCAGGGATCAGGGTATCGTTCCATATATCCTAAGCAGCTTCTGGGCACGATGCACATTGTCTTGGTTTTGTTGAGGCACGAGCCCGATGCCTGTGACTCCCCTAAACCGAAACCCAATACGCCCTTCACCATGCGTAACCCAAAGCAAAACAGATTGTAGAAGATCTAAGAGTACATCTAAGCTCGAAGAAGCCCTTGACTACAACGAGCAGCGGCTCTAACAATTCCTTAAATCCCAGGGCCTGACATCCTCAACCCCAAGCCCAAAATCCTACAGGTAAAGCCTAAATCTCTAAGCCCAAGCCGCAGATTCTAAACCTGACTACACCAAAGAGCCAGGAGTACATCCTCCTGGCAGCGTTGCTGCACGTTTTCGTTGCTCTGAGACGGTAACCTGGCCGCCGTTTTGTTTGCGAAGAAGTGGGGACTTCCCCAAATATGCTCGATAAGCGCCCAAGTACATGAGACCCATTTGGCAATTTGAGTTTTCGGCACCTAAAAGTTTACGGATTATGGAATCTGAGGCCTCAGACCAGCATTTGTGTACTTGGACCCTTCGGGTCAGAGATGCATGCTTCATGAATAGCCATTCTTCTGCCAATGACTTGGAGGGCTGCAGTAGTGTATTGGGGTTATATGGGATATATCTGGAAAAGAAAATGGAGACTTCTGTGTTATATTGGGGTTATGTTGGGATAATGTCAAAGAAAATGGAATCTACCATATTATACTAGGGTTATATTGAGGACATGTTATGTCATCAGCAGTCTTCTGTTCACAATGCAGTAATCTCCTACGGTTCATTCTCCTGGAGCGCTTGGACTGCTTGTCAACGCGTTGTTAAGTCAACGTGTCCTTCCTTGTGCGCGCAAGATCGATTCCTATCCTATTCCCCGCGTACGAACTGTGTGGTGATAACCCTAGATGAATGGGTGTATACCAGATCACTCGCTCCCCTTTGAGCACCAGGTGGTTTTAGGGAGTAGGGTAAGGAGGCTTTGGGGCTTGCTGTTTAGGAGCATAGCTCCTTGATTGCTTGCTGGCCTGTTCCCACCTTTCAAGTCCTACAGGTTTTTGCGGTTTCTTGCCGTCATTGATAAACAGCCCAGGTTGGGACCTATTCCTCTGAGAAAGAAGGCGTTTATCGTGAGGTCGGAATAGCTTCCCACCGCACGCCTAATCACTGGAGCCTAAACCTCTCAACACCAATAACCACTTCCCTAAGTCCTTGCCCGCAAACCGAACCCCCCTAGCCCATTAGCCCTAGCCCCATTTACCTTCAACCTCTACGGTTCTTAGCCCCTAGCCCCAGCTTAAACCTAAAACCCTATGCTCCTAAACCCTGGCATGTGAGAGCCCAGGACCTGGGATGTCAGCATGAGCTACTCAGCCCCTCGGATTGCCTTCGTGTATTTATCTGTGTGGCGGGAGTGGTGAAGGACTATTGGTACTGTAGAGGCCCATGGATTTTCGAAAAGGTGTTTTCTGGTGGGTGGAGGGGGGGGGGGGTGGAGGAGTATTATGTATGGCTAAACAAGTTGTAGGCGAAGCTTTGTAAGAATGATTAAGAATGGAGGTGCAGCAAGTCGACCAAACCTGCTACTCCGACTTCTATGCCTCCCAACTGTAAAGCTGTTTCTTCTTCTTCTACCACTACTACTAGTAACCAGTACTTCTTCCTCTATTACTACGACTACGACAAAGACTGATAGAAATACGGCTGCTACAATGAGTATTATAGATATGATTGCTGATTCTCTGACTAGTACTACCATTCGTTACAAGACTAGCAGTCTGCAAATGCGCCGCCCTTCGCAACACCGTAGTCTTCAGACTCCATCCCGCTACCAATGTTCAGCTCCTGTACAACAGCAGTTTGTTGGTGGTGCCTGCCTCCTCTGCTGTCATGTAGGATCTAGTGAGTCTAGTGGGGAGCGATGAGAGCCTATGCCTGCTTGTGATTGTTCCTGGTTGTTGTGCTTTTAACCCCATGCCAGAGCCTGCTTGCTACTGGAAGTAAGGGGTGTTACGCATTCAGTCAGTCTTGAAATCCCAAGTCCGAAGACCTGAGCATCTTGGACTCTTCCAAGATCCCCACCCCAACCCCGATCCAGAACCCCAAGCCCAGCCCTGATTCCGGCATCAAAATTTATGGTTCAGGGTTGGGGTCGATGCTCCGAGTTTGGGGCCAGTTCTGTTTTAGTGACTTTCATATCCTTATTTGGAAGTTATCGACAAAGCTCCATGGCTGTGAGATGTTCAGGCTTTATGAGGGACAGGGGGAGATCAGAATTGCAGCCTCAGTTACGCACTCCTGGATCACCGCGTTCCCCAAACCCTGAATCCCAGACCCGAACCCCCTAAACCCAATATTTGGATGTTGTTGGGGAGTCAGGTGGCATCCGGAAAGCTGAACTTGGCTTTCTCGGGCGTCACCCTGCTGACGTTCATGATGATCCACCTATACCAGTTCAGGCAGCCCATTCGTCTCTTTCCCTAAGCCCTAAACCCTATGCCACAGTCCATGTACAACCCGGGCTCATGCTCAGGTTCAGACGGAAGTCAGCCAGTTTTCAGGATCTGCTTGAAACCCTATAACTCGGTACCCCAGTAGTACATTTTTCCCCCTTTTATTTTGGGGTCTCCTTATTAAAGCTGATCATTAGGAAAAAGGGTACCCTTATTGTTAAGGGGCTCCTACATAAGAATACAGCTTGTTTGCAAAGTGCTTGTTCTTAGTTCAGCAACATACAACATGGATTCTGGAAAAAAAGAAGTTTTGGGCCGCTAAAAACCAACGAGTTATTGGGTGCCGCAACGCAAACATATTGCCTGAAGCTCCCAAGCACCTGCAACCAACCGTAGATCCAACATCACTGGACCCCTTTGCTTTCACACTGCCTTTAACGCAGGGCTCGCAAATCACCAGAATCCTCAGCCGCCAAACGTCTACACTTCCAGCTCCCAAATCAGGGTTGTCAAATAGACGAGGCGGTTGTAAAGTGAACATTCGCACTTCTCCCACCACACCTGTGTTGTTCATGTAGCCTCCTCAAATACCCCCCAATACTTCCTTCTACAAGTCCTTGCACACATCTTCATTGATTCTCTTGTATAGAGGGACAGGTACTTGGTCAGGGACACTTGGTAAGTATACCTATGACCTCTATAACCCAGACAAGTAACCCCAGTGATCCCCACTACTAACCTACTTACAGAGTCTCCCTGACCCTGCACGTGGACTTGTACATGACCTCACCCCGCTCACATTTACCCAGTCCTTGAAGTCGGGTACAGGATAGTGCACGCCTAGCTCGGGCAAGTGGATGATATATGAGGGTTTCCCAAAATTAGGATACCCTTTAAGGGGTCCCTATATTAAGGATTATAGTAATTTGGGTCTATATTGGGGCCCCTTGTTTTGGGAATCAACTATATCATGAGGAATTCAGCATCATGTGGTGTACGTCATGGGCGTTTGCTTTCAGATTAAGCCTCTTCAGGTGGCTCATAAAATCATTAAGCAGGTGTATACGTGTAGCATCGGAGCCTCAATGAGCCATCTTACTTAGAGGCTTGCATAGGACCCGACTTGCAACCTGTACCCTAGGCTTCATACAAGGGCTCTCGATTACAGCTGTCAGGGAAGTTGTTGATACATGCGGCCCAGGTACGCAAAAAGTCCGACCATCTTGTGTATGTGAGCTATAGTCTAAACTTCTTGATGGAGGTTATATAGGGGATGATTTAGGGAAGTATTCTAGGGCCTAGGGTTATAAAGGCGGCTACTAGGAGTTTAGACTATAGTTCATGTCGTTTTGGTTTAGAGCCATGAAGCCATCAGCCTGAAAACCTTCCCTATAGTTGGGCGTCTCAACAACAGGTTTGGCGACACCCAGCCGTGGAAGCTTTGCCCACCGCCATACCTCCTCAACCTGATCCTTGCCTGGTTTAAGGTGAGGGCTGGGGTGCGATTACGCCATCCATCCCCTAAATTAGCATGAAATTCCATGGCCAGCATCAGGGTTGGCCAGGGACAGCTCCCGAGACAGGGCAATTTCTTGTGCACTGAAACTTCTACGTATGCGCGTAGCTAGGGGCCGTCGTCATGAATGGGGCTACAAAATACTGGCGCCAGCAAAGCCTTTAAGTGTGGGGGTTGTACAGCCAGTCCCATCCAAGGAAGACGCTGCTCCACCTCAGGCTGAACCTCTTCTGGGTCGATGACCCCGGCTGCCAGGCCGTGTACGTGCGCGACATCTACCGCATGGAGTTCGAGATCTTCCAGTCTTTGGGCTGGGTGCTCTTCTACCTCGCGGCTGTGATCATCTTTAGCGTGCACATGTGCCTGGGATGGCAGAAAGTTGTGCCAGCCCCAGCCCTGGAAATCCCCAAGAAATACCACAGCAGAGCCATCCACATGGGCTATGTCTTCACCTTCTTCATCGCCATGATCTACGCCAGCTTCCCTCTCTACACCCACCTCTTCTCCATGTCCTCCGGAAGTCTGAGTGTGGAGCCCGCACAGCCCTGAGAGTTGGTACAGTTGTGAACCAAAAAATATTTCCTTTCTAACAATCTCCCCTTCCTGGTACTCATCAGGGAGTCCGGGCAGAAATCTTCTGCCTGAGCGAAGCCACAGCTTTGGGGGGTTCTACCCCCTCCAAATCCTAAGCCTTTCACATCCGCAACACTGTCGTCCCCATTGAGTACCAGGGGGTCCTCACTCGTCGTGAGCCCTTTTGGCAGGACGCCGCGTCCGCGTTTCATAGCCTCCAGCGAATCGCAGGAAATGCAGCGCTGAGGACCCCAATCACCTCTGAAAATAGCTCGTCTTCTGATGGAACTCGCATGAAGTCAGATGGGAGTGCTCATATGAGCCTATAGAATCCCCACTAAGGGCCCCCCTGCTTGAGAATCCTGAGATTCTTACCCGGCTTGTACCTCAACCTTGAAGCTGTTGCGGTTTACGTTTGTTAGGTCCGCCTGCGCTCTGTGGCATCACTCTGGGGACCAAAGCTCACATGAGTAGTGCTTTTTTGGCGGTTGAACCTAGTA